CCCCAAAACCCCAAAACCCCAAAACCCCTAAATTAGATCAAAATATTGAAGATATTGAAGAATTATTTAGTTCATTATAAAACCAAAGTGAAATCTATGATGGTAATCAATGAATGCATTCCTTAAATAGCTTGCTTGATCAAGCCTTAACAACAAGAGAAAGACTTGTACCTAATGCATGTTGGCCGACTAACTCTACTAAAATTCAATTTCTCAATAAATAATTTTGAAAGTGACAAGCTGAGTATTTATCTTTAAAATTTAAGCCAAGGAAAGTTCTGTTTCCTCTAAAGTTTATGTAAATCCTTTTCTGTTAATTGATTCTATCAAGCTCGCCTTTGATGAACCTTCCTACATCTTCTACTTTACCAATGGGAGATTTCTTCTTCATACATTCAGCAATTTCTGAAAATTGAATAGCTCTTTCTACCGGGGTATCATCCATTTTTGGAAGGAAAATGATGGATTTACCTCATAGCTTCTAGTCGTAATGAAGCCGGAAATGTCTGAGGAGCTCAGAAGGCGACATACTCTGGTATATCATCTAAGTTCTAATGCTTATATGTTCCCGGAATCGAGCTGTCTTATTGAATTTAGTACTGGTTTCAATAACACTGAATATAATATGATGCTCTTTAAAGATATCTCTCAATTTTCTTTAGAATGAAGAAGCTTCACTAAATTTCCAAGGAAGGTAATTGATTCAATGATGATTCTGCCAACTGAAGAAGAGAACACTTTAGAAGTAATAATGTTCCTCACTTCTTTCAGACGTCTTTCTCCTGCATAATATTCTGTTTCTTAAATTTTTGTTAAGAGTAATTAAAAAATGGTGGACTCAACTGAAACTTTGCCTTCTCCTTCTTTGAATTAGATTTCTCCCATCTCTAAAAGAGCATAGGGAAAGATATTAGTGTTGATATAAAGCATGTAATCATTAGAGTTTACCTCGCTGGGCTTCTTAATAACAGAAGCTAATTTATTATAAAGTTTTCTCAATCTAAAATTCGAGAAAGAATTTGGGTTGTACCCAAATGCAAGGTTGCCACCTTGCATTGAGGTCTAGTAATTTATTTCCTTCATGATCATGGAGGAAATTTCCTCTGACAATCTTGTAATGAAATAAATCACCTGCAGAGTTCTCTTGAAGAGAACCTTGAGGTCATTTATTGTCCCGTTTGGAATAACTCCCAGTCTAGTCAGCATTGACTACTATGAGGTTCCAGTGACATAATTACTGGAAGTCCAAGTTTTTGGATATAAAGCTGGTGACTTTTCTCACAAACCTTCCAAATGTTCTGGTTGAATTGCCTCTATTTTATCAAATATTTCCATAATCTTAGTTATTATTGGGGTTTTGGGGTTTTGGGGTTTTGGGGTTTTGGGGTTTTGGGG